CGCGTGCAAGGAATGCGTCCACTTTTTCGGAAGAGTTTTCAAAAAAGCGGATGCGCTCTTTCAACATCCCTGTAAACCTCATTCTACGAGGAAGACAGGATGTGCTGAAAGAGCACTTTTTCCAAACTTTGGTGCCATGTAGACACACCAAATTTCGGAAATATTTCTTTCAACAGTAAAGGGGGGGGGACCTCACAATTTGTGTACTGCAAATTGCATTTCTTTTTGCAATTGATGTTTGGATTGTAGATCTAACCTTTGGGTTCTGATCAAGACTCTCTCTCAGCCTAACTTAAAGAATTGTTTTCATATTTGCGTTCAATGACTCAGCTTCTTCAGCCAACAGTCTCAACTACATGCATTCTTCCTTCAACAGTCCTGAAGACTTGTGCATTCTAGACATTGATAACATCTAAGTTCATTTTTCCATGTCTTTTCCAAGGACTTCGTCAATTCAAGAGACTACAAGTAGGATCTTAATATCTAGATGCTGGCACAAGACCTCTTCTGGAAATAAATGCAGAGGAGAAAGCTAAAAGTAATTAACTGATTACAGTAGCACTTACATTCCTGACAAAAGAAATTTTGCACTCATACGCATTTGTTGTTGTAAACCTAAAACAGAATAGATCAATCATTGGTATATACAAATCTCCAGTTTTGCCTACAAAAGAACAGTAGTGCACATCAACATGTTGCACACATCAACTGGCTGCATGGATCCTGCTGGCATACAAAGTTCCTTAATGCACAATGATGTAGCCCTGTTTGAAACAAGCAATCATCAGTGTAATTTGGGAACTCTTGGTGTGCATCAGTAGGATCCACAAGGCCAGTTAGTCTTCAACATACTGGCAGGCACAAGAAATTATACCTTAGCTGGTACATGCCAACACACTGTAAAGACAAGCCCCAAAAGTCCACAAACGAAATGCTTCTGTCACTAGATAAAGAGCACTTCACATAAGTAAGCAGAGTTTTGACAAACAAGTAGTTGAAAATGACCACACTCTTATCCATGGGACCTCAGGAACAGTTTTATTTGCGCTGACCAGATTTAACTAATTTTTAACCAGAAACTGTGAAGAAATTGATAACTCATCCAACAGATTCTGGAGAACTGAAATTGCAGATGTGAATGCTGGGGGAAACAGTAATTTGCTTCTATAGATAGATACTGCATAGAAATAGGCCTACTGTTTAAGAGTTTTTAAGAAAAGGTCTATGAAGAACAGCAAATATACAAAGAAGAACATTCTTGACAACAAGATTGTAATACAAATTAATAAAAACCCAAAGTGGAATCTCACTCCTTATATCCTTTTATTTCTACCTAATTACATACAAAATATGTCACTCATCCTTTGATAGTCCCTGCAGCGTTTATGGTCATTAGGGAAGGAAGGAGATGGTATTTCAGTCCTAATCAATCTCTTTTATTTTGTTTGTCTTTGTCATAACCCATAACCTTATAGTTATTTGAATACAAGTTTAACTTATTAGCAAAGTTCCTTGAAAGTCTAAGGAAGAACTTTCTGCACATTACAGACATCAGTCCCAAATTTCTCAGATTCTTAACACACTTATAAAAATATTACATTGTCAAGGAAAAGTTAGTTGATTATTATGACCAATAGGCAAACACTTTTTCCACCTTCATTTATATAATCTTCACATCAATTTCTTTGGCCATCACATCTGATTAGATATGAAAACATAATACAAGGCTTCTCATTAGGACCTGGTAGAAATTCTGACTTTTCAAATTTCATTATATACAACCTATAGTAGAAGTATAAACTATACATTTCAAAAAGAGAAACAGGCAGTTACGATTAACTGCATATTCCATATGGCAATAATTTCATTACAAAGGGTAAAACTCAGCTTCCTTATTTTACTAGATAATTTACAAGTAATTTCCTTATATGGCTGGAGAGAAAGCACTTATGCATCCTTTGAAGATGAAAGTAAATTGGCTCTGAAACAGAAATTACTGTTACTAACTGCTGTCATAAAAGCCTAGCACTAGCAATTATTACAACTTCCCTTTTATATCAAAGATACTGCATTCTCTCATTGAGAAATCAGGAAAGGTGTCTGTTAAAGCTACATAAATTAACAATGTACCTTAATGGGAAGAGAAAAAAACCCAAATGGACTAGAAGATAAATAGGGCTTTTAACTCTTTTGAAAATGTTTAACATGACATCAGATTATTAATCATGCTCCAGTATGAATGTTCTAGATAGGTATTAATTCAAAGCCATTTATCAATGTATCCAGAGATCAGATGCAAGTGTGCTAAAATTGTGAAATACTAAATATATTTTGGCTAACTAACTGCTTCATTTGCCTTAGTGCCAATTCTGATCTTATGCTACTAAAGAATAATTGGTCTCATAAAATCTAGACCAAACTTGTGCCACTATATGGTGTGTTTCACATTTCAGAAAGTATCTACACTTCAATTAAAAAGAGCATATCCAGATGCTCATTACACAAAATAAATCTCAATCATTTTGAAAGATTCTTTTGGTTCTAGAAATACTCTTTTTTTTTTTTTTTTTTTTTAAAAGAAAATTTCTGGAAACAGCAGACTTTCCGACAAGCAATCCCTTCTAAGGGTGCCTACTACATGAAGGAAAACAGCAATGAGAGTTATAATCAACTGGTTTTTATGGGTCTGATCAACACCGAGAGCTGGTTTTATTCTTTTAAAGTATTTCACAATCATTCTGTTAAATCTTTAAAATACTCAAAATAACAAAAAAAGGCAACTTAGCATATTCAAACTATTTTAAGATGAAGTACAGAGGTTTAACATAAGACTCTTGCAAATAAACATAGGTTTTGTATACCTCACCACTTCTGTCAGTAAAATTCTGGTTGGCCCTATGTGTGGAAAAAAACCTGCATACCCCTTTCAGAGAGGTAGCCGTGCTAGTCTGTTTCAGAAAAAAAAACAACAAGGAGTCAGGTGATGCTTTAAATGTATTAGAGCATAAGGTTTCCTGAGCTACAGCTCACTTCCTTAGATGCTGAAGGGAAAAAAAGAGGGATTCAGATATGCGAGTGTGACAACAGTGCTAATTAAATCCAAATAGATGTGGCTCATCTCCAACAGTGGTGAGAAGGTGAAAGTACCTGAATGGAAAATCACCTATTATAATGCGAGAACCACTGATGTGTTTATTAGATGTTGGTTCAGGGTGTCAAACTTGCATATGGACTCCAGTTCAGCAGTTTCTCTCTTGCAGTCTGTTTTTGAAGTTTTTCTGTTTGAAAATGGCAACTTGCAAGTCCAAAACTGTGTGCCAATATGCCATGAAGTGCAAGACACAACTATAATATCCATTTGAACAGATTAAAGGCAAATAATTAATTCTATTGCCATATTTCAGCAAAGGAAAAAACATATTAAACAGGATTAGCTAATGCCCTCTACAAATGATGGATTTCAGCTATAATTTACAAGAGAAATTTGAGAAACCTATGTAGCACTTTAAAGACTAACAAGATGGTTTAATAGGTGAGGAAGTGCGTCTGGCCCACGAAAGCTCATCACCTATTAAACCATCTTGTTAGTCTTTAAAGTGCTACATCGTTTTTCCTTTTGTTTCAGCAAGATCAGACTGACACGGCTATCTCTCTAATACTAGAGAAATTTGAGACTTCTTTCCAATACGGAAAGAAACAGCATCACTGCCTAACATGAAAGAAACTTTTTAGAATCAGTAGGATATATTAATGGTGTATTTCAAGGAATAAACGTATGACTAAGTATGTACACAACATAGGAAAATTACTTACTAACACTATACTAAATGGCCCTCAAAATACATAAGCATGACAAGTATGGTAAAAAATTCTGTTTATTGGCATTCATTAATTTCTCAACACTGACAAAAGATTAATATATTGTGCCTGAGGATGTTTCTGCAGCACTATAAAAGAGAATGACTTCAAAACATCTGGAGCTGATTTAAGTTTCCATGCTAGGTCTAACGATTTGGAAACTTAATTTAATTTCCTGCAGATTTTATGAGGGGCTAGCTAACATCTATTTTTAGAAATACATGTGTGCTTTCACAAATAGCTAATGTATATTAAGAGTTCATTAGCCACTTCTAATTTCACCACATTCAAACATAGTTAGATAACACTGGCTGGTATTAAATGCTAGATTATCAACAGTTTCATTTCTAGACCCTGAGCTGTTTTTATATTAATCAACTAAAGACCTTCTATTTCCTTTTAGCTGAAGTCAAATGTGAGTGGTGCTGTATTTACAGGGCTTCATGCAAAGCGAACCTTATACTTTTCATAAAAAATACAGTCACCAGATAATCATTAATTGTTCAAAAGCTAGACATATGTAGTTCTGTTTTTCCTGACAGAATTTTACATTTAGAATTTATAAATCACACTCTTAAGTGTCATATAGATATTTTTATAAGCTGGTTTCAATCTTTCTTAAAGCCTTTTATTTATGACTTTGATATTTTATCAATGCCGGTTAACACAAGAGCAACAAAATAAAAAGTTAATTGATTCAATAATACTATATAGAAGTTCAAACATGCAAGTGCTCTGACATAAAAAATTAAAGCTTTGTTTTAAAAATATAGCCACAGAGCTTAAAGGAAATACTGCACTGGACCCTAATGTTGCCATTAGTCCCTCCTGCTGGTGATGTTTTCCAGGCAGTGGTCCTGGACAGAATATAAACCGAGACTCAGACCAATTTAACTTTCTGTGGCTGAGTTGTCCGACTGATTCATTTTTCCCTATTTCTGATTGACGCGTCACAAATATTCTAACTAAAATGGCCTAGTCCTTTCTCATATTCAATTCACTTACGCTATAAAGTTCAAAGTTTTACATTTATATTTATTTCTTATTGACTTGAATCACATCTGAAGGATTTCCACATTTTTATATACTGAATGATCTCAGGATTGAAGGCTCTAAGAACTGAACCATTATCACAGTCCTACCTAGAACATTGCCTGAAGGCACTTCTTCCAGATCCTCCAATTCTCTTCCCATCAGCAAATATAAATTCTCTAATGTACAGCAAGCCATATGAGGTATTGTTGGAAGATCATCTGCAGCAGAACAATCTGACGGTAACTAGGCACAAAGAAAAATAATCAATGTTAGATATTTATCCCTAAGTAAGTGCTATTAACATGGTTCTGAAGTAACTCCAGAACTGAAAAAAAAAACCACATACCTATAGCAATGTTTAGTTTAATAAAAGTTATCTGATAAAATAATTGTATTTACACTCATTTCTAAATAAAAATAGAGCAGAAACGGGGTTTGTATTTTTAGAAAGACATAGCAGCAAGAGTATCATGTTATTTGTTAATTTTTGGAGGGCATATTTATCTCAAAACATTTTTAATTTTATTTGTAAAACAAATATTTTCATAAGTAATAAATTAGCTTTTATAAATACAGTTTCAAAATACTAAAAGCCAATTCATTTACTAGTATTTCATCTACCCTATAAGGAAAAGATTTCCTTCCTTATAATTTTCTTGAGATCTTCCAAAGGTCTAGATCAGTGGTCCCCAACCATTTGGGGTTGCCGGGCACCAGGGGGCGTGGCCGTTCGCCCACCGGGCACCCGGGGCGGCCCTCCCCGCCCCCCCATAGCCGCATTCCTGGGACCAGCGCTCTCCCCTCAAGCGTCGCGTGCCCGGGGCCGGCGCTGGCGCTCTCTCCCTCCCCCTCCCCCAAGTGCCGCGCGCCCAGGGCCGGCGCCCCCTCCAAGCGCCGCGTGCCCAGAGCGCGGGTGGCCAATCCGCAGTGCTCCCGGGGCCGGTGCTCACCGTGCACCATGTGCCCGGGGCTGGCTCCGGCACCATGCATGTGCCACGTGCCCAGGGCCAAACCAGCCCCGAGCACTTGGCGGGCGCACACAAATGCCCCCGCAGGCGCCATGTCGGGGACCACTGCCCTATAACAAGCAGAGGCCTTTCTCTTATGCTGCACCCCGTGTTAGGCCACGCGCCCAGGGCCAGCTCCGGCACCGCGCATGCGCCACGTGCAGGGGGCCAGGCCAGCCCTGAGCACTTGGCGGGTGCAGACAAATGCCCCCGCGGGCGCCATGGTGTTGGGGACCACGGGTCTAGATACTGGAGTCAGCAGTGGAGACAGTACTCAAACTATTCTGGAAATGGTAACTCTGAATATACAGAATGAGATTGTTGACTCAGCACAGCTGAAACTTCAAAATGTATCAAAGGCCACCTTCTCTCCAACATACTTGAAACATATGCCTTCAAACAAAATACTAGAATATAAGGAGATGTAATCTGGGGGCACGTGTTCACTTGTCACCCCAGAGATTGACATTCTGGTGTTCGATTTAGCAGGTTTAATATAAACCTGTAAGCTCCAGCCAGCACCTGTAGTCCTCTCAATTGCAAGGAGTAAGGGAAGCTGACAGGAACATTTGCTCCCATCGGCTTCCTACTGTGTGCCAAGTTTGGAGTTGCATACCGTAAGCCGATCTTCCGAGTCTAGTGTAGACTTGGTCTGAGAGTAATGAAATCTGGACTGGAATAGAAAAGCTTAAAGAAGAAAAAAGTTACCAAACAGGAAAAGTTGCAATCTTCTGTGTCAATTCAGGCAGTATTTATGAAGACATTCTGTTTGAACACCATGCTTACGGAACTCAAATATTCAAGTGACCTCCAATTTATGGGTGTCTAATTTCAGACTTGTAAAGTTTGTGTTTTGTAAGTCCAGAGCACTACTAATTTCAGCTTCAACTAAAATCAATATGAGTTTCAAAAGTTCAGCACTTCTGCAGATTAGGTAATAGCTGTCAGGAGCTAGACAACAAAAATCAGCTGTCACTTTTGAAAATTCAGGCCTAATTCTATAATGCATTACAGTTTGAAGTGAAGCTTAAGCAATTATATTAAATAGCAATGTCTCCACTTTCTCCGTTCTAGAAGAGACCATTGATCAAGTAGACTGATCTCAAAGATTTTATCATTTCCTTTCAACTAATGCAGTAAGCCTCTCAGAGGAATTGTTTTAACCAATTAGGTAAAATAGACTTGGCAGAGCACTCATGCAGAATGAACATACTCTCTGTCATTCTTGATAACACAAGCTAACTCATGCCCCCTAGTAATATACAAACAGTGCAATTTGGCTTCCTAAGTGTTACTCAGATAGGACAAAATAGGGTAAAAAAACCTTGTCATGCCTGAAATACAAGGAATTGACTTTTGGCAAGAGTATGGAAGAATCCTGATACTATCTTATCCAAAGTAAAAAAATATGGATGCATCAGAGGAATGAAAGTTCACTAATTTGCATAGCTGAGCAGACATCTATTACAAACAAACCTCCTCCAGAGTTTCAAAGCCTCTCTAAATGCTTTCTAAGGAACATGCTCGGTTAGTATGCTTCCTGCTGGGAGATGGGGAAGCATTAATGAGCAAACAGGGTGAAGAGTGAGAGGAAATGGAGCACAGTTCGGCTTTGAAGGATGCGAGCTGAAAAGAATACACAAAAGAATGCAAGCGGGTGAGACTCTCTAGTTTCCTCCCTGTGAGCATATGTGCCACTGAAGGAGGATCACAACACTGATGACTGGGAAACCATTCATACCTCCCTCAAAAGCAGCTTCGTCAGCTGCAAATTATGGAGTTTCCAAGACCAACAAAGTTGAGAGAGATGGAAGAACAGAACTGGAAAGAAATTTTATTTCTTTGGTCTTCTGTATCAGCTGCTTGAGATGTTATATAGTCCACCCATGGGAGGCTGAGAAACTGCTTTCTGCAAGTAGAATCCCTTGCTCCTTAGCTCCTGAGGAACCCCCTTCCACTGTCCCTATGTTGAGGAGCAATTGCATCTCCCAGATAAGGGTTACTTGTGAGAAGGGTCCCAGAAGAAGGGGAAGAGAGCGGGAGGGAAGGAAGGAGCAGAATTAGAGAGAATATGCCCCTTCTACCACGCAGTGAACCCAGTGGTCTAATGTTATTCAGGACAATTCACAGTACAGGCAGTCCCCGGGTTACGTACAAGATAGGGACGGTAGGTTTGTTCTTCAGTTGAATCTGTATGTAAGTGGAACTGGTGTCCAGATTCAGCGGCTGGTGAAACTGATCAGTTTCAGCAGTGGCTGAATCAGGATGCCTGGGGCAGAGCAGCTCGGGTGCTGCTGGCTTGGTCCAGTAGCGTGGCCGCTCCTCGGAGCTAATGGACCAACCCAGCAGCAACCCAGCTGCTCTACCACAAGCCCCCGGCTTTGCTCCATGTCTCCCTGGTCTGCTGGCGGGAGCAAAGCGGCGGAGCACCCGGCTGGACCCGCGCCGCTTCCAGCTGATCTGGAAGCAGCCGCGGGTCCGGCCCCCGGTGCTCCGCCGCTTTGCTCCCGCCAGCAGACCAGGGAGACATGGAGCAAAGCCGGGGGCTTGTGGTAGAGCAGGTGGGGCACTGCCGGTTGGTCCCGCAGCACCGCTCCTTGGCGCTACTGGACCAAGCCAGCAGCACCCGAGCTGCTCTGCCCCAGGCATCCCAAAGTCAGCCGCTGCTGAAACTGACCAGCGGCTGACTACAGGAAGCCCGAGGCAGAGTTACTCTGCCTTGGGCTTCCTGAAATCAGCTGCTGATCAGTTTCAGCAGTGGCTGAATCAGGATGCCTGGGGCAGAGCAGCTCGGGTGCTGCTGGCTTGGTCCAGTAGCGTGGCCGCTCCTCGGAGCTAATGGACCAACCCAGCAGCAACCCAGCTGCTCTACCACAAGCCCCCGGCTTTGCTCCATGTCTCCCTGGTCTGCTGGCGGGAGCAAAGCGGCGGAGCACCCGGCTGGACCCGCGCCGCTTCCAGCTGATCTGGAAGCAGCCGCGGGTCCGGCCCCCGGTGCTCCGCCGCTTTGCTCCCGCCAGCAGACCAGGGAGACGGGGAGCAGCTTTTCTCGCCCCGGAGAAGGCGGGCGGCAGGACCAGGCGTCCCGCTGCTCTAGTTCTCCCGGGCGAGAAATCCCCGTTCGTAACTGTGGATCCGACATAAGTCGGATCCGCGTAACTCGGGTACTGCCTGTAGAAGAGGAATAGTTGATTCATACAGCAAAGGGAAGGATCTGATGTTACAGCTGGTTCACTGTTTTCAGGAACATCTTCAGAAGGCCTGCTTTGAGCTCGACAATGGTTTGGTTGGGTCCTGGCCCTTTCTGGGGATGAGAAGGTCTGTACCTGCCATTTCTACCCCTCCTTTAACACAAGTCCTATCTAAGGGTATGTCTACATTTGCACCCTAGTTCGAAATAGGGATGCAAATGCAGGCATTCGAAATAGTCAATGAAGCGGGGATTTAAATATCCCGTGCTTCATTAGCATGATCTCGCCGGCGCGCTAGTTCGACTCCCTGGTTCAAATCAGCTGTGAGTCGAACTAGCGTACCAGCAAGATCATGCTAATGAAGCGCAGGATATTTAAATCCCCACTTCATTGACTATTTCGAATGCCTGCATTTGCATCGCTAGTTCGAACTAAGTTGCGTGTGTAGACGCACCCTCAGATGGGAAGGGTAGGGACACTGCTGTTGAGGCTGTAGTTTTATGCAGGGATGCAGGGGGAGTATGCGTCCCCCACGACTTCATGGTTGCCCAAGAATCTTAAGTTGTGCAGTTTGGAGTCTGATTGCTCTGACAATAAGCCTGAACCTTTAAAAGGTAAGTCCTGCAGGGTTTGCTGTACTGTGGGAGGAGTACAGATACTTGTAGTCATGTGTCCTTTCACATGGCTAACCTTGGAGAGGGTGAAGGCAGCACAGTCTGCCACAGCTAGGGAAATTTGCAAGGAAGTCCATGCCACGACTTTCCCTTCATCAATACTGGCCATGAATTCGGCCCTGCAATCTGATAGGGTAGCTCCTTAAACTTCAACAAAGAGGCCCATGAGCTGAAGTATTTACTGAGAACAGGTTGTTGGTTAGCTATCATCAGCTGCATGCCCCGCATCAACTAGACCTTTTAACCAAAAAGGTCTAATCATTGGACTCTCAAAATTTTGGGGTTGGTCCCTGCTGCCCATCTTTCCTTCTCATGGACCACGGTGACCACAAGGCAGCAGGCTGAGGGTGTGAGAACAAATATTCGTAGCCTTTAGATGGGATAAAGTACTTGTGTTTGACACCCTGTGATGTGCGAGGGAACAATGCTGAATTCTGACATGTTTTGGTATAGTTCTGTATAGTTTTTATCAGGGGCAGAGCTACGCTAAAGAAAGTCTATGGCATTGGGATATAAACTGAGGAACCTCTGGCATAATAACCTCTTCTGCCTTTAGCCCAAAGTTGCAGGTGATTGTACATAGAAGGTTCTGGTGTGCCCAGTGATCTGAGGTGCAAAGGCCGAAGTCCTTGTGACCAACTTGTCTGGGGACAAGGATATGGGTTAAAGGTGGTACAGAATCCTCTTGACCACAGGTCTCAAACACACAGGCCATCTATGGCGCAAGCATTTTTGCATTCTGATCTGAGCATCTCATCAGTCCTCATCCCTCAAGCCTACCTCCTTCACACCACCACCCTGCCCTCACCTCACCTTTGTACCCTTTCTCCCAAAGACTCAGTCTTGGGGATTACGAGTGGAGCTTGGCATAGGATGACAGCAAGGGTCAGGCCACACTCACTCACCATAGCGTCAGGAACCATGAGGAAGCAGAGCAAATGTGCTCAGTGAGTGTGCTCCTGCTGCCGCAGTGAATGAAGGGTGTGTGCACAATCCCTGCTCTTGACCCTCAAGCGCGCTCGTGTCCTCTTGATCACTGCCTTGGACCTCTATCTCTAATGTTTAACCGACTAAGCAGGATCCAAGCTGGGGACTGCTCCAGCCCATGGGACCCACCCTCAGCCCTGTGCAGCCTCTGGCTCTGTGGGCTCCCAGCCCCTATACAGGGGTTGGGGCTAACTGTGGGGTGCCCGAGCTCCCTGAAGACAGAGGATGCTCCAGATGCAGGGCCTGGGGCTGCTTGAAGGGTGCCCGGGCTCCCACAGACAGAGGCTGTCGATGGCAGGCCACCTGCTGGGCAGGAGCAGCTCTCTGCTTGTGGCAGGTGGGGACCTGCTCCAGCTCTCACTGTTTACCAGTTAACCAGAACTGGTAAGCAACACCTGCTTAGGGTGATGCATCGGTCAACAGATTAACCTTTCACATATCTAACATACTCCTGACTGGAACTGATGTGAACAAGCACTCAAAAAAGAACATTGGTTCTAGCAGTTCACTAACAGAAAAAAAAAGTTTATGAAATACTGCCTATGTGGAAGTGTGTGTTCAGACAACGCCTATGTGCGCTCTGCATGATGACAACTACATCAAATTCTACTTTTACCTTTTCATATTAAATTCAATCAAAATGTACTGAAATGCATTTATCAGAAATCTGTATGCATTTATCTGAAAGTACAGAACTATACACAACTGAGCACCTTTCACTAGCTTATAATTAAACCAAAATATTTTGTACGCATTAAGTTTTATGTAGTCAGTTGTCCCTTCTGCCACATAAAGGTGACCTGCAAAGAAAAAAGAATTTGGACTTGAGTTGTATCTTTTTAAAGAAGCAGAGAAAGATAGAATATTCATCTCTGACTCATTTTTTTCCTGTTTATATTTGAAATTCAGGTTCTGTCTAGCTTGGAAGATTCTGAGATGACTGAAGAACTAGTAAACTGATGACCTCACCAGAGTCAAAGCTGAATAACTGAGGAAAGAACTTTAAGCCAGAACAAAACCTAGACATGATGAGAAGTCTGATATTCCTAAGATTAAAAACACCAAAAACTGTAAACAAAAATTTTCAGGCCTGCATCACTATCAAGCAGCTAAAAAGTGTACAAGCCCAAATTCTTTGAAATACTTTGCAGGTCATCTTTAAACTACTCTATTGGCTTATTTCTAACATCTGGAAAAGGCTAACTATCATAGTCATAAAGCTAAAGGTTATCATCAGATACTTTTCCATAAGATCAAAAGATGATCCACTACAAATTCATCATCCCCCTCCCCCATATCAACATAATTGTAGCTCTTTGCAGAATAACTACATAAATCTAACCTAGAGCACAGTCTTAGTCCTGTTTATTATGAGAGATGTAATCACATATCCATATAAAGCCTCTTAGACACAAGGTAAAAATCCCATCTTCCATAGATTTAAAGTTCAGAAATCCAGATTTAAAAGCCTCCAAAAAACTTAAATAATAGCAATGACTTAGCGCTGAGACAACATACAACATTCAGATACAAGGGAATTGACTAAAATAGTCATGTAGGAGTATTACCAATCACATGAAAAATAGCTAAAGTAAGTAACACACTCAATACTTAGATTTTGTACATACTCTAAAAAGCAGGATACATGACACAGAAAACCACCAATACATAATTAAATTTCCACTCACAGCTACAATGCAAGTGACAATCCTAGCTCCTCATTTAACAGTCTAGGATTAGGCACACAATGCTTAATTTTGTTATAATAAAAACTAAAATTTTGGCAAAATTTTTTAAGTTGCTTCATTATTTCTGAAAAAAAAAATTATCCAAAATTATTATTTGATTAATAGCATTTGAAAAACTGTTAAAATTATCAATGTTGTGAAACAATCTCAAACTATGTAACATTTTACTATCACCTCTTACCTTGTGTAAAGACTCAGCAGGATCATATTTTGGTCCCAGAACCAAGATCTTTTGCCCTCTTCGCACCACACCACTGAACACTCTAGCAAAAGCAATGAAAGACTCCTTGTTGTCTGATTCTTGTTTCACAGTTTTTAGGGTCATGCTTTCTGTTTGGCTAGTGAGCTCTTGTTCATCACCTAATCAAAGTTAAAGAACAGTGAAGTCTAAACACAGTTTCTGTAGCACCTTGAGGAGGAAAAACAACAACGAATCAGTGTCCTATCATTTGTGAAGAAACTTAAGGAGAAAGCAAGGAAAGGCATCATGACTCAATATTCAGGCCTTGAAGTACTGATGTGACTATTTTGGTTAGGGCCACGTTTTTACACTGAAATATTTTTAGCAGCATAACTCTTATGGTGGACCCAGTTGTCTTAGGAAAAAGATGCCTTACAACTGCCATAGCTTATTTCCCTGCCTACGTGTAACTATCTCTGCAGGTATGAAGCATCTTTATCCTGGCTTACCTGCAACCACACCAGGATTGTTGTACTGGGGTTTAAGGTATATAATGTGTGTGTGAGTATAGACAAGTCCTCAAAGTATTACTAAAAACCACAAAGCCAAATGCCCCTATCAAACGTTCTTTCAAATAGACAAATTAAATGCTTTCAGAAGGAGAAGATTGGTATAGATCATCTATAAACAAATTCTTTCCACTTTTATAAAGTTTTCTTTAGCTGAAATCATGCACAGGCTATTTACATATAGCCACATTCAGGATAAAGATAACAGTAAAAGTAATTGACTAATTTGACTGTCTATTTGCTTCAACATTTCCCATTCCTTTCCTCATATACTCTTCACCTCACCTTCACTCTACCTGGCCTTGAAGTTCCCTACTTTGCTTTCCTCCCTCTTTATCCCTACCTTACCATTTTACCCAGCTCCCTTGTCTTTCCCACTAGTTAATCCCACTTCACTAAACCACACCTAGAATGTTAAAATTAACCAAACATTTCTGGCATTTGCACTGTATCTGCAAACCATCACACTAAGTATTCTGTCCCTTTGTCTAGCTCAGTGGTGGCCAACCTGTGGCTCAAGCCACATGCAGCTCTTTGCTCACAGAAATGTGGCTTTCAGGGTTATGGCTCCTTAGGAGCTGCATGCCCGCTTTGTGAACACGCCCCAGTTGCTGGAGGGAGAAGTGTGTGGCTGTGGCGGTGGCAACTGTGGAAGAAAACATAGTCCTCACTCTGCATTTGTAAGCAACAAGTAGCCAGAGGCAGTTTTATTACGAGCTACAGCAAGGGAAAAACTGGTTCAGACAGGGGAGGAAGCCCCCCTGCCCGGGAGAAGCAGTAACAGGGAACTTGGAAATGGCGGAGATGCTCAATGACTTCTTTGTTTCGGTCTTCACCGAGAAGTCTGGAGGTGTGCCTAACGTAGTGAATACAAGCAGAGAGAGGGTAAGTTTAGAAGATAGGATACACAAAGAACAAGTTAAAAATCACTTAGGAAAGTTAGATGTCAGCAAGTCACCAGGTCCTGATGAAATGCATCCCAGGATACTCAAGGAGCTGATAGAGGAGGTATCTGAGCCTTTAGCTATGATCTTTGAAAAATCATGGCAGACAGGGGAGATTCCAGAAGACTGGAAAAGGGCAAATATTGTGCCCATCTATAAAAAGGGGAATAAGAACAACCCAGGAAATTATAGACCGGTCAGTTTAACGTCTGTCCCAGGGAAGATAATGGAGCAGGTAATTAAGGAAATCATATGCAAACACTTGGAAGGTAATAAAGTGATAGGGAATAGCCAGCATGGGTTTGTGAAGAACAAGTCATGCCAAACTAATCTGATAGCTTTCTTTGATAGGATAACGAGCCTTGTGGATAAGGGAGAAGCGGTGGATGTCATATACCTAGACTTTAGTAAGGCATTTGATACGGTCTCGCATGATATTCTTATTGATAAACTAGGCAAATATAACTTAGATAGGGCCACGATAAGGTGGGTGCATAATTGGCTGGATAACCGTAGTCAGAGAGTTGTTGTTAACGGTTCTAAATCCTGCTGGAAAGGGATAACAAGTGGAGTTCCTCAAGGGTCTGTTTTGGGACCCGTACTGTTCAATATCTTCATCAATGATGTAGATATTGGGATAGAGAGTACGCTTATTAAGTTTGCGGATGATACCAAACTGGGTGGGGTTGCAACTTCTTTGGAGGATAGGGACATAATTCAAAATGACCTTAGCAAGTTAGAGAAATGGTCAGAGGTAAACAGGATGAGGTTTAATAAGGAGAAATGCAGAGTGCTCCACTTAGGAAGGAACAATCAGTTCCATACATACAAGATGGGAAGCGACTGTCTAGGAAGGAGCATGGCGGAAAGGGATCTAGGGGTCATAGTGGACCACAAGTTGAATATGAGTCAACAGTGTGATGCTGTTGCCAAAAAAGCAAATATGATTCTAGGTTGTATCAACAGGTGTGTTGTAAGCAAAACTCGTGAAGTCATTCTGCCGCTCTATTCTGCACTAGTTAGGCCTCAGCTGGAGTACTGTGTCCAGTTCTGGGCGCCACATTTCAAGAAAGATGTGGAGAAATTGGAAAGGGTACAGAGAAGAGTGACAAGAATGATTAAAGGTCTAGAGAAGCCTATGAAGCCAGGCTTCATGAACTGGGCTTGTTTAGTTTGGAAAAAAGAAGATTAAGGGGGGACATGATAGTGGTTTTCAAATATCTAAAAGGGTGTCACAAGGAGGAAGGCGAAAATTTGTTCCTCTTGGTTTCTGAGGACAGGACATGGAGTAATGGGCTTAAAGTGCAGCAGGGGAGGTTTAGATTGGACATTAGGAAAACATTCCTAACTGTCAGGGTGGTCAAATATTGGAATAAATTGCCAAGGGAGGTGGTGGAATCTCCCTCTCTGGAGATATTTAAGAACAGGTTAGATAGACATCTGTCAGGGATGGTGTAGATGGAGCTTGGTCCTGCCTTGAGGGCGGGGGGCTGGACTCGATGACCTCTTGAGGTCCCTTCCAGTCCTATTATTCTATGATTCTATATACTGTCCATTACATATAATAACAGTAACAATTAGTCTCCTTCCTATTACAAACACCAATGGCTAACAGTTATTTTAGTTCCACCCAGATGCTCCTTATCTCAAGGTCCCTGCCAGAGTCAGCATTCTATCCTTATCTCCGTATGGAGGCGAGAGGCAAAGGCAGCATCTAAATACAGATCTTGTGTTGTCAGGCCACAGACTTAGCCTGACTCTTGCTCTCTTGTTAAGAAGACCAAGATGGCTGCACACAAATTCCCTTATTCCCTTTTCCTGCCTCCATACAGCTCCGGTGAGACCCAGGCATTGGGTTAGAATGGGAGGGACCTGGGGTTGCCTGGCTCTGTGGGAGGGGTATGGCATTTGATTAGAGTAGGGAGAGGTGGGGGGCCTGGATCAGGGGGAGGGCATTGGGTTAGGGAGGGGGTTAGGGGTGCCTTGCTCTGGGGGAGGGATGTGTGGCTCTTTGCACTACTATCCACAGCTCTTTTGGCTCTTTGTGTCTAACTGGGTGGCCACCCCTGGTCAAGCTTGTCTATTCAGACTGTAAACTCTGAGGAGGTACTGTCTCTTCTTACTCTATATTTGTACTATGCATATACAGACTGATCAGGTCCTGTTCTCAACTGACTCATAAGCACCACTATAATAAAAACAAAGTCTTTACCTATGAGAAAAATGGGTGACAAAAGACAGTCCTAAGAAGTACTGTACCTTTTGTCTCACCAGTCTTCACAGTCAATTCAGATTCATTTCCAGAAAGAACTTGTACTGGTAGTTCTTGCACTTGACTGGCTATCAATTTTTCTGCATGTCTTTGTCTTGCAAGCTCACGTCTTTGAGCAATTTCTTCTTGTGTTAAAGGCCTACAGACCATTTAAAATCATTAACATTTGGAAACCACCATTCATTTTCCAATAAAGACAAAGAAACTACAATATTACATTTATGACAGACAAAAATGAATTTAAATTTCTAAAATAAATTCAAGGTTTGTTAGTGAAGTATTCTGAGTAGTTTTTAAAGCAGTAATAAAATATCCCATTCTTCTGCTACATCCAGGAAGAATCTATATATTTTGCAATATTTCTGCTGATACTTGTGTTAAAACAAACCCATCATGTGTGTAACTGTTTTGAGAATTATCACTCTTTTGGTGAGCAGTGACTTGGTAACAGTCACGATAATTGGGATCACATGCTAGTTTGCTATAGTTGTAGCTAAGAATAAAATGGAGTAAGCACGCAGTTTAGAAATATTTATACCACACAACTTAGCAAGAAAAAATATTTTTTATTTGTTCAAGCCAACTATCAGTAAATACATCCATTCTCTAAACCAATACTGGAAGTTATCCAGAACAGAACAAAGATTTTGTTTGGTTTACCTGCCCTCTAAGGTAAAACCATTTACTCTGATAAACTGAACAGGAAACACTGAAAGGAGAACTTCTAAAAAATTCCTGACAAATACTCCAAGTGAAATCCTGGCCTTACTGAAGTCATTGGTAGTTTTGCCACAGACATAAGGTTGGGGGAGGAAGGGGACGGGGTTACAGCAGGGAGGGGAGGTGTTTGGCTCTGGGGAAGCGAAGGGGAGCAGAGGGGAGGTGTATTGGGTTGGGGGTATGCCCCTGTGACGGGTCTGCCAGGACCCGCACTGCATCCAGCGACGGGGGGTTGCCGGGGAATGGCGCGGCGAGCGGCGAACCCTCCACCACTTTGCAGAGAGGTGGGGGAAGCCCCATGTAGCCACCGGCAACGGGCCGGCTGGGGAAACCCAGCTGCCGGCCTGCACGCAGGAGCGGAGGAGAGGGGGCAAGGCGTCCGGCGAGCGGGAATCAGGGGGATGGCACGGTGAGCGGCACACCTTCTGACACTTTGCAGGGCGGCGGGGGAAGCCCCGCACAGCTGCTGGCAACGGGTCAGCTGGGGAAATCATGTTATTCCAGGGACGGTCGTGTAATTCAAAAAACGTTCCCTAAAAAAAAATTCGTGCTATCACGAAAACATGTTAAGCGGGCACTTGTTAAATGAGGAATTACTGTACACAAATAAACACATTTTAACATCCCTACAGTGCGTACAAAAAGCTGGAAAGACCAGTTAGGAAGAAAAGGAGGCAAAAGAGAGCTGGGAGTGACAACTCTTAAAAGATATGATACCAGAGGCTCAACATCAAGCTATCCTTCGGGAAGTAGAGGAAAGATGAGATGAGCCACAGCAAAAGGAAGCAGAACACAAGATTAATGCATATCAGACACTTCATCTATAAACATACTAATGACCATTTATATTTTGATGTTAAGGCCTACTTTTCCCTAGTTGGCAAAATCAAAGAGGTGAAAGCAAATTTGAACAAATACTGGGTCACCCACCAGACCACCAACTCTCCAAGAACAGGAATCTGCTGGAAATGGAGTGGTCAGGAAGAGAACTGAAAGACTGAAAGAAGGAAGGAGAGCAGGACGAGGAGCCTTCGGTCCCAATCCCACCAATCATAGAAAATCCTCATGACCCAGACTACCCAGTGCTCAGCTAGTGCAATTAAGCATTGCTTACTTAATAGGAGTCACTGTCATGCTGTCACTGACTCCCCTGTAGTTACATACATGCTCCACTGCAAGTTAAAATTTAAGTCATGAAAAACCTAATGTTACAATGTGTACAACCAACATAAAGCATTCACTGAATTATTATCGAGTAGGCTTTAGCTTGGAAATCATCAGATCTTTTGGGTAAAGCACACTACCCACTGCTTTGTTTATTCTATTGTAGGCAGCTCAGAAGCAATCTATTGACTTTCAGCTGTGGAATGTTTGTAAAGAAGGGTGGAGAGAAAAAAAATCAACCTTCCCCTTTTCAACTCCTGCTTTTTTGATGACCTTTCAGTCTCTTCAGATTTTCTTTTCTGCCTCTCTGGAATGAAGCATTCCATGCTAAGATTAAGACATTGCACTACAGTATTCAGGACAGGTATTTCAAACTCATATATTCCAAGATAAAATGGTTAAGATTTTTCAAGATAAATTTATGGTTTATTAAACTTTATGTTTATTAAAAATACATTCTAGTAAGGAACTATTAACTTTGCCCAATATATTAATCAAGGAATGAGTAAATACCTGTATTAGATTTTTAAGATTTAAATATTCAATGTATTGGATTACTTACATAGAAATAATAAGTAGTCAGTAGTATTTTTAAGGTTGCAAAGGTACTTATGACTTGCTTAACTTTTACTCTGACTAAAATTTCTCATGCTTTTTTCATGCTTAATCTCAGCTTCAAAAGAGATTTTTTTAAAACTGAGCTAACTCACATGATGTTGAAAGAATATGATTTTGAAATGCTCAGATTTTATGATAAAATGGGCCAAATAAGTAACTAAGATAGAGACAAGAAGCTAAAGGAGGTGCTGGACAGCTGGAAACCCTTGGGGGACAGAGTTAAGTTTGCAGTGCATGGGCTGTAGTGTACGATAATTGTGGTAAAGCTGCTGTGTGTCTTCTGGTGCCGGAGAAGAGGGTATATAGTGCTATGTTATTTAACCTTTTGTTTCCTTTCTTTTGTGAGTTTGTCAAATATGCTTTCTGTTGTCAGAAGATATTAGCCACCAGTAACTGTGCATGGACCCTTGTGCATTACCTTTTGTATAATAATGTATGATATAAAAATGCAGCTCCTGACAGAGAATGTTTCATCTGAAAATGTTGTGCGTATCCCCACAAGCTTTTAATCAAGTATATGTAAGCCCAATCCCAATCGGTCACATTTGTGAGCACTGTGTAAAACCAACTGCTATTGCTGGAGGGAAAATAAGGAGGTGTATGTGGAAGGACCCAAGAACTGCAGAGTTAAAGTTACATTTCTCTCTTAAGAGAGTGCAGCTTTATTAGATATACCGTATTTTCCAGCGTATAAGACAACTTTTTATGCTAAAAAACATCCCCCAAAAATCGGGGGTCGTCTTATACGCCGGGTATACAGGCAGTCCCCGACTTGCAGGTACGAACGGGGCTTTTCTCGCCCCGGAGGACACGGACTGCGGGACCTCGCAGTCCTGCCGCCCGTGTACTCCGGGGCGAGAAAAGCTGCTCCGCGTCTCCCTGGTCTGCAGACCAGGAAGACGCGGTGCAAAGCCTCGGGGGAACCTGGCAGCGGGGCAGCCCAGACGCGCCGCAGCTGTCCCGCTGCCGGCATCCTCAGAGGCTTTGCTCCCGGT